TTTTCACCGGCAAAGCCAAAGATTTTCGCGCTAAGCCGTCAGTTTTTTCAAATATTTACACTCCGTCTCAAACATAACAATTCCCATAGTGAAAGCGTATCATTTATTTATTATGAGACAGCTGGTGGGCCCTGGCCTTAAAAGGGTCTGGCCAGCAACAGGCGACGGTCTTATTACCATAAAGCAATTTTTTCTTATTCGACAGGCTTTTCAGGCTCATCAAATATTAAATGAAAATTTGCTTCGTTCTCGGCAATATTTGTAAATATGCATATTTACTAATCCGCTGTCCATAAAGGACTATTAGTAATGCTTCAACGATAAAACGCCTAAACCATAATTGAAAGAAAATAGGCAAATAGTTGCAATCAACTTTTTTGCTCATCAGTTTCAAGCAATTTTCACAAAACTTTGTGAAAATTAAATTTGGATGTACAAGTTTCGTTTAATCAAGCTGTAAGCATAAGTTGAATACGTGTTTCACCAACTTTGCAAAGTCCTTGGCACGGGGAAAAAAAAAGAAAAGGACATGTACATATGTATGTATCTATTTACAACTATTTGAGCGTATGAATGGTTGTATAAATATATGCATGCATTTTCTCTTATAGCCAACGCGAAAAAACTATACTTCCGGCTGGGCCTCACTATGCGCTTCTCATGAATTTAAGTATTAGACTCTCACTCTATGCGTGCCTCTACATTTCACTTTATTCCTACTTTAACCCGCTTCCGTTGTTTGTCTCTCTGATAGAATTTTTGTGGGAGTGTATGTAAATGTTAATGTTACATATTATCATATATTATAATATATAAAAAGCAATATATATTAAGCGTATTTCGGCCCTTTGATTTCCTTAAGTCCAATAATGGCTTGGCTATATTAAAATGCATTATACTTTATGCATCAATAATAATAATGTATATTCTACTTTTATTAGTATGTAATAAAAGTATATAATAAATATAATGTTCGCAAACAAAATACTGATTTAATAATGATTATAAATTGTAATAAATCATTTTATACAATTATACAAATTATAAACCCAATTGAATTCATTTACTCGCTCAGCCATGTCAGCTGCATTATTATTTATTCTCCGAATCGTATTAATAAATTATCAGATTGTGAACTTGCATACTCTTCGCAATTGTCGGATTTAATATAAATGGAAAACCTTTTTTTAAGCATATTTAAATTAATTTTATTACCCATACGCCTCATTGGCTAAGTGTTTTATTGGCTTAAGCTGCCGCCGCTGACGCACATAAAAAATATTTAATTAATTCGCGCAAAAGTTAAATCAACCGCGAAGCAGATAACGCCTCTGCACGCATTTAAATGCAACCGCAGCCCAAATGCAGCCTGGTTGTGTGTTGCATAAATATGTGCGTAGGTTGCAAGCAGCTAATTACTGCAGAGGGCACTCCTGGAATTACTTGGCCCGTTTCCATTTTGAAATTGTCGTTGCCCCAGAAAAAGGAACTTCATTAACTTTATGTCATGTCAGGGGGCTGACGCACAGTCAAATGGCTTGTCGTGTTGCGGCTCCATCACAGTTTCCTGCAGCATTTTCCGCAGTGTTTTTAGTGTCGGCTTGCATATGCGAAGAAATCTATTACTTTGCCGGAAATTAGTCGCACACATAACCTTGCCGCAGACCTCCGTTCGAAATTTATTGAACATGCTGCAATGGATTTTATGCAAAGTGCGCACGCCACGCGTCACATTTCATGTGAGAGCATCGAGTTTTTGGCATAAATGTGCGTGGGAAATGTAACCAGCTGCTTCTACACAAGACTAAGATATTGAATTTATTGGGTGTTGGGGCAGCTTCTGTTGCTGGCACCGACACGGCTAACAAATTGATGTCGATTAAAAGTTCGGCTCCTGCCAACGGCAACAATATGGCCGAAAATACTTTGACACACGTTTGGCCGAGAGGACAATGACAAATAAGCGGTAATTAAGGAAGTTTGTGTGCACACTTATTAAAAGAAATGACAATGACACGATGCCCGCATGCGGGCATATATCCAGGTGTTGCTGGTATGCTTTTGCTGCAAATGTTATTTATCAATTAGGGCTTTGACTTGGCAACACTTTATTTTAATTGGCTTCGTACACACGGGCACATCAAATGTCACACACACACACACTCATACACAGGGCCAGAGCCAGCTGTTGATTCTAGTCTAGCATTGGCAAGTCCGAGTCCAACTTTCTCTCAGTGCGGTTAAACTGCCCGTAAAGGGCTCAAAGTGTTGCTGATGCTGTTAACATGCAGCATTAAGCGAGCATCAAGTGCAGCCCAAGTCAGGAGTGGGTGCAGCCCATGTCCGGCTGACGATTGAGTGAGTGACCAGCTTGACTACAATAGCAAAGAACGTGGATGCAGGCTGGCTGGACACAATGAATGGCCATCATTTGCAGTGCGGCGTTCACAAGCTTGCACCCTTCCTGGTCATTTCCCCTTGTTGCTGCACTGTTGATTTTCCGCCCACTTTTCCTACACGGTTGCAGTGGCCCCCCCAGCGGCAGCGGTTTGACTTGCCTTTAACACAGCTAAATTGCAGCTGAAAAATGTACATTTCTTCTCTTTACTGACACTGACTCTACACAAGCTTGCTGCGGGCCAATTGGCTATTGTCAACGAGCATATTGTTATTTTAGTAGCTGGCAATAGCAGAAAGGGAAATGTCGCACCTAAGCAAACATTGCAAATGATATTATTGATAGTTTAATAGTCAAAGGTGCAACTCATTTGCAATGCGTAGCTTGAAGTCCTTCCGACCAATGCACAAATTGACATTTATTAGGTCTTACATTAGAATTGATTCATGCTGATCAAGGCTTTGTTCTGATTTATCGATGCACAGCCTCAAGACTGTATTACAGATTATTTTATTAAATAACACAACTCAGCCAGACAAAAAATTTGCTTTAAGCGTCGAACTTATAAGCATGCAGTCGCTGATTCAACTTCAGTAACAATTGCCAATGATTATAATTGTTATTAAATTTTGTTTAAGAACAAAGAAAAGGCCAACATAATAAATTGGAAAACAAAGAAATGGAAAATTCAAATGCTGTTATCATATGTTTCAAAAAATGCATTTTTAAATGTGTTTATCAAATTCAAATATTGTCTTTATTTTGTATAATTGATATATGAATCGAAAGCTGGTGTGCACCTCCATTACATAAGGTAACTACAGTAAGAAATTTAGATTGCTGGCCCTTACAAACAGTTTTTTATATAGGGTCTATTATAAGCAAGGAGAACAGTTTCTTGGCCGGGCTTTGGTAGCATTTGTATTAGGAAACTTGATGTAAATTCAGGCAATACTTTGTATATACATTGGATTATGTATCATTTTCTATAAGTATAGAATATACTTATAAATTAGCAATTCTTATATAAGGCTTCGGATAATAAGTACACACAAAGACCTGAAGGGGAATAGCACATCAAAACATGATTTGTGTGAAAAGTATTAATATTATTATTCTTTTAGAATTTATGTATCTGTACAGTATTATTGGGATAGCTATTAGATATATAACAAATAATGCTGTTGTTGAAAACGCCTTCTAATTAAAGAGTTGAGTTGTCATTACCAATTTAGTTGCCTTTAAAAAAAACTCCTTAATATGGCTTTAGTTTTTATAATTTGTGATTGTTCTCTGGCAAAAGTCGAACAATGACAGCCCATCGTGCAATGAAACATAAAATTGATTTGGAAGCAAATGTTATTTGAGTCAAACCAAGTTTGGACATATAATTCATATAATTTGAGACTAATGAAAACAGTCTGCAATACATGATGTCAATACATGAAGCAAGATGAAACAACTAACAAAGAGCCAAAGGTTTCAAAAAGTTTGCTCATAAAATGTCGACAAGGCCGAGGCCTATCAAACGTCCTGCAGCAAATCCCCCAGACAGAGCGAAATGAATTCAACTGATTGTAAGACAAGAGCTGAATTTGAAGTCAAAGTCATAGTCAACTTGTTGATCGAAATCGAATTACAAGCGCGTTACCTTACCCCCACCCCAGCAGCATTTGCAAACACCTTCACCCACTTACCTGAACGCCCAGCACAATCATGGACACATAGACATAAACCACGAGCTTCATTCCGTCGGCGTTTGGGTCTGTCAGGGACTTTTAATTAACCGACGGTGTTAAAGAATTTGATTCGCGCGGCCGCCAAAATCTTAAGTCCCAGTTGTGCGGTTTGATTTTTAAATTTAAGCTGATTCAAATTATTTGCGGCGAATGGAATGGTAGCACGCAAGCAATAATTTGATTAGAGCGCAAAATTGATGAGAATGGGACGAAGGACGGTCACGTAATTCGCACTTGGACCGAGATTGAAACTGAACGCGTTTTGAATGGCACCAAAAACCGTTACACGCGACACTAAGGATACAAAGGATATATAAAGCGTAACGCTCTGGAAACGGACTGCGGTGCGCGACTTCCGTTCGCTGACCAAAACGAGACGTCAAAGCTGCCGCAACCGACGACAGAATGTTGCTCCTTATCAGCGGCGCATTTCCTTTTATAGTCCTGGCTCGTGCTGCCACCACATGCTCACACTGTGCCAGCCAGCCCCCCTCCCCCCCCGCTCAACTCGTCCTGCTCACAGCCACTTGCGTGGCATGCAGTGCGCAACATTTGAAAGTTCTCATCAAGCACCGAACTTTCGATAAGATAAGAAAACTTGTCCTTGAAGCATTCTGTATGCTGGAAAATATTCGACAGTTTCTAAACTATTTTCATTTTGCTAATTTCTTTTCTTCTAATTTTCTTTGCGCATTTTGCCTGTATTAATTTAAAAATGGACCGTTAAATGGAAAACTCAACTCACGGAAAGCGTCTGGGGTAAAGCTCTTTTAAGCTTGCAACCAGACCTGGCAACTTTCTGGAAACTGCAGCAGCGCCATTTTCAAAAATGAAAAGCTGAAAAGCTTTGTGTCGAACATCACTTAAAAAGAAAACTACTTTTATTTGAACTATCTAAAACTACAATTATTGACTGGAGATTTCTTGCACTCTCTCTCGCATCCTTTCTGCTACTTCAAGCTGACGTCCAGGGACGGCGCCAGGCCCATGGGTATGGGCACATTGCGCGGATGATTCAAGTCGCCGCGATCGTAGTAGCCGCCCAGATGTTCGCCGGGCACATGATACAAGCCATAATGGAGTCCTGTATTGGCCACCTGTGAAAGAAAATGCATTGGATTTAATTTAAAAGCTCTTTTAGTATATTAAACTCAGTTTTAGCTAACCCGCTTCAGTCCATTGATGGAGGCCAGCAGCAAAGCCATTTTGGCCAATAACAACGCCTTGCCACTGACAATAGACAGCATTTGGAAGCCCATGGGCACCAGCACGGCGCCCAGAGCTGTCACACCGAACATCATGGTGATAATCATGTTGAAACGATGTCGACGTAGTCGGGCGCTGCCCACCGCATCTGCTTTGCTCTGCGACGCATCTGGAGACAATTAAGCCCAAAAATATTCAAGGAATTAATATCCATGGCCATGGTGAAACCACCTACCGTTGCTCAGATAGCGCTCCGTGAGCTTGGCCAGATTGATTTGCAGCGTGTGCGTGGTCAGACCCTTGGCCAGGCTAACAGCCAGCTGATCAAACCACGTCAAGTGCTTGAGATCCTTGCGCTCATCGGCTGCCGCTCGGGCATGGCCATTTGTCGCATTTGGTGCGGCCATGAGGCGCACGCCCTCATACAGCGGTATGACATCCGCCATGATGTCCTCGAAGATTTGCAGGCTGCGCGCGCGGAAGCAAGCCCACAGACCCGTGCCCGAGCGATAGCAATCGCCCAGCTGTTGGCGCAGCTGCAGCAGCTGGGCTATCCATGAGACGCGCGTATCCGTTTGAGTTTGCGTCGGATGGACCGTTGCCGCATTGCCTGCCACAAGCTGCATCAGCAGGCAGAGTGCCAAAAGGCAAACGCTTTTCACAAATTTCACTTGCATATTGTGTGCGGCTCTAGAAGTGTTCGCGTCAAGGCTCGGAATGAAACTGCGGCTGCTTGGACGCTCGACTGCAGCTTTTTATGTGCCGCCAGAGCTGGTCACTGAATGGAAACGCATTTGGCTCGTGCAACCAGTCATTAGAGAGAGACTCCAACGCATTGCGTGCAGAATTAAATGGCTAACGGTCAGACATCGTTTCCAATTGGTTTTTGACGGTCATGGTCAGCGGTCAGCGGTCAGCGGCAGTCCAGTGGGCGGGACTCCAAGCCCAGTAAACCACATTGTCATAAAACTGTTGAATCCGAAACTGAATTTATTGTCGTGTATGACCTGAAAACCACCTGGTTAGACATCAAATTACCTTGTCAACGCTTTTGATCAAATGCCAGCGTATTCTAATCGCATACGAGCCGCATGCCTGTTAACAGTTGCAGTTAGGCATGATTAAAGCGCTTCACTGGACTGATCGAAGGGCAGTCGCGTTACTTGCCAGTACGATACGGCGGTAAAAGTTATGAGAAAAGGTTGAGCTATTTTCAGCTATTTACTTTCTAGTTATTGGATGGATATTGTGTACCTATGAATTAGCCAAAGAGGTTTGAATGTCTTCTGGGCTTAGGTTAACTTGGCCAAATCAGGCTTCTCAGACAAGGTCTGAGGTTAACGGGAGGGGATTGAGCAGCGGCAGTATTAGGAGAATTCTATAGTCTGAATTCTACAGCCTCAGAATTGTTACTGTGTGTTTTTCAAGTAAATATCCATTTCACAATGTCCTTCCGTGGGAATCTAGTTTGTTGTTTCAATTTTTGTACATATATTAATTATATTCAGTTTTACATTTATTAGCTAAGAGGTAATTCATTGCATTTTTGCTTTATAACTGTTGAACAAATTCGTACTAAAATAAAAAGATTTTACGCTTAAATAGTTGATTGAGTGCAAAAAGTAGACGTTCAGTGATTTCCTTTTTTGTTTTCGTTACGTTACGCTTTAAACTTTAAACTATGCATCTAGTTAAAAATGTTTTACAAAAAACAGTTACAGTATCTTTTTCTATTATATATAAATATATGCTCGTTTCCTGTGCAGATAAAACAGTTGCTTTCAATTGTGTGCCATAAATGTCTGCTATAGTTTCATATATACATACATGTAAATTTCTATTTTATATATGTTTCAAAAGTTGGCTTTAAAACCTGTTGATGGTTAGAAAAGATTACTCTAGCATAGACCAGATGCATCCTCGACTGATTGTAGTTGTATAGGTATAAACGCATACTAGCAAAAAATAGACATATACTCTATAACTGATCTAAACCGACATTAACTTTCTGGCTATACATATACATATATATATATATATATATATATTTCTGTGGCTACAACTGACCAACTAGCTTGTGCATGGCAGGCGATGCCGCCAATATAATCATGAGCCCGTCGCGGTACCCGCCGTGGCAGAAGCGGCAGCGCCACGCCCAAAACGAGGCAGATAGAGTCCAAATTTGGACTCGATGCCCGTCAGCAGCGGCACGGCCGCATGGTAGCCGCCAATGTGATCGGGCTTGGGCTGCAGGCCGCTCAGTGTGCCGGTCAGTGGCAGACCGGGTTTGGTGCCTTGGGAGCCCTTGGGCTGATTGCCGCCAAAGTCCACGTAGAAGAGACGCTGCAGCAGCTCGTAGGTAACCAATGTGACACCAAATTGTGGCGAAGAGCGGCAGACGCGAGCTAAGCAAGAGAGATGCGGAGATAAAGTGGGCAACAGAGACTGGTTGCTTATTGGCTACTCACCGGCTGTGCCCTTCCAGAAGGCACGCGGGCCCTCCTCGGCCATAATCTTCTTGGTGGCATCCCAAACGCCCGTGTATGTGGTCTGTCCCGTGCGAGCAGCGACCTGCAGACGCGTCTTGATCACATCGGCGGGCGTCACCAGCGAAGCAGCGGGCACGCCGGCAATGGCGCCAGCGGCCAGCAGCGATAGCGGATGGTTGTAACCATCCTTGTCGGCCAGCGCCGCCTTGGTGTGCGCATAGGTCGGAAAGTAAATGGCCGAGAAGTTCACATCGCGCAGCAGACACGCCCGTGCGCCCTTATACAGTCCAAGGAAGCCCAGCTCGCGAACAACGGACAAGGCACTTATTTTGGATCCACCGGCGATTTCGCCAGCCACCTGTAGCCGAATCTTGACAATCTCCAGCGGATTGGTAAAGATGACCTGTGCACAACCACCACAGCCGCCGGCAACCACCTCGGCCCAGACGGGAATGTTGCCACGCTTGTCTGTCAAATTGTCGCGGACAAAGTCGTTGACCGTCAGCTTGATGGCCTTCTCAGGAGCGACGCCCATTAGCTGGGGCAGCAGGCCGCGATAAAGACCAAGGATGCCTTCGTGGCGAATGACCTGGCGCAGAAAAAAACATTGCTTGCCATCTGGTCTACCATTCAGTTTAATGGCTTACCTTCTTGAAACAGTCCCAGGAGTTTCTATATGCAATCTCACCAATCATGGAGCCAGTGCGTTGATTCTGCATGCGTGTCTTGACAAGATCAATGGGATAGACAACCGTGGCGCCAGTAGCTAAAGAAGAGAGTGCATAGTTGAGTTACCAGAGTTAGAGGATCTGAGAAGCTATTGACTTACCGCCAGCAAAGGAGGCCAGGGTAAAGCGATAGGTGGCCTCCAGCATTTGAATTAAGGCCGATCTGTCATTGGGACTGTCGACAGCCTTGATCTCGGCCAGGCGGTGAGTAATATGCTTCGTATAATGCTCGGGCGCAATGTTGCTCAGATCGCTGTAGTCGATGCGGCTGTTAAAACAAACGATTTGGGCATGTGGTTAGTCGAAGGTTCGGGATGCGAAGATACCCACACATAACTATCTAAAACGAAAACACACCGAAGGGCTGATGCATGGCGATCGGGAATTTTGGTATCTTTTTTTTTTTGTTGTAAGGATTGGGAATACCATGTCAAAAATAAGGTGTATTTTTTTTTTTTTTTTTTGTAAGGACAACAACACTTGCCTACTTGGAGAAATCGTTTTGCGTTTCCACCAGCTACAAACATTGTGATAAATACAATTAAGTCAACAATTTGGTATGCAATTTGGTTTGTTATGAGTGCAAAAGCGAGAGCAGGGAAAGAGAAAGAGAGAGAGAGAAAAATATACAAAATTCCAACAGTTAATACACACGGAGAGACAAACACAAGGATTGTGACTTTGTTGTGACCTCAGAATGTTGCTGAGCAATGGAAATGTTTGCGCTGTTCTTGTTGTTGTTGAAGGAATCTATGAAGGATTTATGGCCTAGGGCACTTACCCCGGCTGATTCACAGCGCCGGTCAACTGAAACAATATGTCAATTTCCAGTGGCGTTATCTGGCTCATGGTCTGCGCCGCATAGAGCAGCTCATCCTTGGTGACCATCTCGGTGCGACTGCCCTTGGTGGCATGCAGATAGACCTGCTTGATCAGTTCCATGTTGTTGAGCAGCGAGGTAAATGCTATGAAATACGGAAAGCTAACTCTGTGACCCTCAGTGACCTATGAAATTGTAAATAGCCTTAGGCATATGCCAATAAATATGTCTAGATCAGTTGCTGTGCACTTACCGCCACCAAGTTATCCTTGACATCGGCCGTGAGTAAATGCCGCTTAACCTTAACAATAATATCCTGAAAATCTAGGGGGGATATAAATCCAGTGCCAGCTGGATCTTTGCTGCGGAATGCCTCCATTGCGTGCTCCTCGTGAAAATCGTGCAGCAGTTGCGTAAATTCAGCATAGTTGATAAGTCGTTGCTTCTTCTACAGTAAAAGAATATCAAATCGCTTAAATTTGTATTTAAATTAACGATGAAATGGTCCATTGACTTACCTCACCAAAGTAACGCTTGATAAATGTGCCATCCAAGCTAAAAGGTATCTTTGAGTGCAGTTCCGTCTTTTGTACGACATCAGCGAAATCAGCTGAGAGAGCAGAAATAAAACCAGTTAGTTAATCACGTTAACAGCTCGTGTATATATGATAATATTAACCATATGAAACTGAGCCATTGCCCTGGCGGTCAAACAGCTGGAAGGCAGTTCTGTAGAGGGCATCGGGGGCGCAGAGCAAGCCCTCGAATGCCTGAAACTCCGAGAATGATATGAGGCCATCTTTGCTCGTATCCGCAATGCCGGCAAGCAGACGCACCGATTCCTGGAAAAACAAGGTTCAATGTTTAATCGAGCCCATTTGACCGTTGCCTAATTGGTGATTAGCTATAAAAAGACTTTATCACAAATTCGTATGTAAGGAAAAGTACAATCCGCAGACTTCGGCCTAGCCGCACCTGGAAATCAATTCTTTTAGCAGCGACCAGCCAAACAATTGATAACGAGCCGCCGCCAATTTAAATGCTGTGACGTCGACAGACAATTTAGCACGAGGTTGACAAGTGATTGCGAGTGCGGAACGAGTGCACTATGAATCAGTTCTCATTCTCTTTGGGATAAATGGCGCACAGATTTGTCTGGTTCCTCTTGCACAGGTGAACGTTATCGCATCAATGCTGATAGCTGATAACAGCTGGACCGCATTGTTGTTGCCGTTGACTGCTTATCACACAGCAACTGTCTATAACCTTGCAATGACCCAACGAACGATGCGCTGTTGTCTATGACACGGCTTTTGTTTCACACAATGTTGTTGTTGTTGTTGTTGTTGTTGTTGCCACTTACATCATTGAACGCTGTCTCTGTGAACAGGCCGAGAAACTTGCGGACAAAATCCTCGCTGGTCATGTATTGCTCGCCATCCTTTTGCAGTGAGGCGTACTTCAGGAAGACTTCGCGCAGTTTATCAGTGCCGGCGCGTTTCAGCAGCGAGGGAGTCTGCAAAAAAAAACCGAAAGAGATAAAGAGATCAAAAAGCGCACACAGCCACAAACACACTCACACACACACACACACACACACACGACAAATACTCAAATTCACTCTCTCGCTCTCTCTTTTCAAATGGCAAGCAGAAGCAACACGTGTCATATATGCACAATCACCGTGTGTATGTGTGTGTGAGTGTCTGCTCTCTGTAAAAGTTAACTCACAGTCGCGGTAATTGGCATTTTGTTGATATTTGTAATTATTTTTCAACACTAGTGTTTGTTCTTAATGCCCAAGCGTATGCTGGCATTAATTAGCTCATCAACTTGTGACCGATCCAAACTGAACTGAATCGAGCCCGTTGCCCAACTGTGACTGCCCAAATTGCCTCGCTCACATTCTATTCTATGGCAGAAAAAAAAAAAAAAAAAACTTGTTGAGAGTGCGCGCCAATTCTCTCTGCTTGGTTTCTTTTTATCGTTTGCTTAAAAAGGGAGCTAGCTTTGATCGGGTGCTCTTAAATTTGTCGCTCTTATTGAGTCTGCTCTTTGGCAATTTCGCTCACTCGTTGACATCATAAACAAGGCAATTTTTATGGTTTGTTTGCAAACAATTTTCAAATTTGCAAGGGCAAAACCCATAAATATTAACACTTTTATGTTTATTATTATTCGTTTTGTTCTTTATTTATTTTTTTCTTTCTTTTTTACGGCCAACGGGGGTCAAAGCTGTTGCAAGCAATTCCGTCAACAAGTCCGACTTTGCTTTAAAGTCGGCTGGTTACATTTATCAATAAATCCATTGACGTAATACAATTATCATGCGATTCTCTCGCACTCAGAGAGCAATGTTTACATGGCAAGACAACATTTGCATGTATATGCAGCGTTA